GGCCCAGTCCAAGGGGACACACGGAGCCATGGGGACACTTGGAGCTACAGGGCGCACAGGGACGCACCAGTGAGGACACACGGAGCCGTGGGGACGGAGGGACGTGTGGGGACACATCGGGGCCACACGGAGCCACAGGGACACACGGCCAGGCTGGGCCAAGGGGACACACGGAGCCACTGGGGACATTTGGAGCTACAGGGTGCATAGGGACACACCGGTGGGACACACGGAGCCGTGGGGATGGAGGGACGTGTGGGGACACACTGGGGACACGCGGAGACACACGGACAGGCGGGTCCAAGGGGACACAGGGAGCCACGGGGACACACGGTCGGGCCGGGCCGAGGAGACAGACGGAACCACAGGGACACTCGGAGCACAGGGACGCACCAGTGGGGACCCACGGAGCCGTGGGGACGGAGGGACGTGTGGGGACACATCGGGAACACCCGGAGCCACACGGACAGGCGGGTCCAAGGGGACACACGGAGCCACAGGGACACTCGGAGCTACGGGACACGCAGGGATGCACTGGTGGGGACGGAGGGACACGTGGGGACACATTGGGGCCACACAGAGCCACACGGACACACGTCCGGGCCGAGGGGACACACGGAGCCACGGGCACACACAGACGGAGCCAGGTGACAGACGGAGCTCACGGACACCATCCCCGTGCCCATCCCTGTGACTTCCCCCTCCCTGTTCCGTGTCCCCTCCTCTGTCCCCTGTCCCCAGCCCCGATTCTATCCGTGTCCCCACACTCAGTCCCTCTCTCCACCCCAACCTCCCTCCCCAGCCCCTGCCTGTCCTTGTCCCCATCCCTATCCCTGACTGTGTCCCCATCAATGTCCCCAACCAATGTCCCCATGCCTCTCCCCACGCCTGTGCCCCTGGCCATCTCCATGTCTCTCTAACTGTTACCATCAATGTCCCCATCAATGTCCCCATCAATGTCCCCATCCTTGTGCCCTGGACCATCTCAACACCTCTCTAACCTGTCCCCATCAATGTCCCCATCCCCGTTCCCATCAATGTCCCCATCCCACTGCCCCAAGTCATCTCCACGTCTCCTTGATTGTCCTCATCAGCGTCCCACTCAATGCCCTCTTTGCCATTCCTGTGCTCCTGGACATCTCCACGTCTCCCTCACCCATCCTCTTCAATGTCCCCATCAATGTCCCCATCCTTGTGCCCTGGGCCATCTCAACACCTCTCTAACCTGTCCCCATCAATGTCCCCATCAATGTCCCCATCCTTGTGCCCTGGGCCATCTCAACACCTCTCTAACCTGTCCCCATCAATGTCCCCATTCCCATCAATGTCCCCATCCCACTGCCCCAAGTCATCTCCATGTCTCGCCATTCCTGTGATCCTGGACATCTCCAAGTCTCTCTAACCTGTCCTCATCAATGTCCCCATCAATGTCCCCATCCTTGTGCCCTGGACCATCTCCACACCCCTCTAACCTGTCCCCATCAATGTCCCCATCAATGTCCCCATCAATGTCCCCATCCTTGTGCCCTGGACCATCTCCGTGTTTCTTTAATCAATGTCCCCGTCAATGTCCCCATCTCAGTCCCCATCCCCACCGCTGTCCCCATCCCCACCACTGTCCCCATGCCCACCAGTGTCCCCGCTCCCGCCGCGTCCCTGCGGTGCCACGTACGGGTGCGCAGGCGCAGGGTGCTGGGCGCCCCAGGGTGCTGTTCCCGTCGCGCCTGCACCGACACCTCGTAGGTGGCACCGGGCACCAGCCCCGTGGCCTCGAAGGTGTCGGCCGTGCTGGGCAGCTCGTGCATCGTCACGGCCTCCGCCTCGTCCTGGGGACGGCGACACCATGCTGGGGACACCGTGGGGGACGGTGCCACCCCCAGCGTGGCCCCGCGCGGCCTGGGGAGGGGACACGGCCAAGGGCTCGTCCCAGGGGCATTAGGGACATGTTGGGGACACGCTGGGGTCGTATTGAGGATATGTTGGGGACATGTCAAGGACACGTTGAGGATGTGTTGGGGACATGTTGAGGACATGTGGAGGGTGTGTGAAGGACACGCTGGGGACATGTTGGGGTTGAGGTGAAGACATGTTGGGGACACATTAAGGACATGTTGGGGACGCCTTGGGGACGTGTTTGGGGGCATGCTGGGCTCGTGTTGAGGACATGTTGGAGACATGTTGGAGATGTATTGGAGATGTGTTAAGGACATATTGGGGACATGTTGAGGACATGTTGAGAACGTGCTGAGGACGTGTTGGGGACGCATTGAGGACATGTTGAGGATGTGTGATGGACACGTCGGGGACATGTTGGGATTGTGTTGAGGACATGTTGGGGACCCGCTGGGGATGTGTTAGGGACACATGGGGGACATGTTGAGGATGTGTTGGGGACGCGTTGAGGACATGTTGAGGACATGTTGAGGATGTGTGATGGACACGTTGGGGACATGTTGGGGTTGTATTGAGGACGTGTTGGGGACATGTTGAGGATGTATTGGAGATGTGCGAAGGACATGTTGGGGGCGTGTTGGGGATGTGTTGGGGACACGTTGGGGTGGTGTTGGCGACATGTTGAGGACATGTTGAGGATGTGTGTTAAGAACATGTTGAGGACATGTTAGGGACACATGGGGGACATGTTGAGGATGTGTTGGGAACATGTTGGGCTTGTGCTGAGGACATGGGGACGTGTCGAGGATGTGCTGGGGATGTGTTGGGGACACATTGGGGACATGTTGGGGACATGTTGAGGACATGTTGAGGGTGTGTGAAGGACACGTTGGGGACATGTTGGGGTTGTCTTGAGGACGCGTTGGGGACCCGTTGGGGACATGTTGAGGATGTGTTGAGAACATGTTGAGGACATGTTGGGGACATGTTGGGGACATGTTAGGAACACCGTGGGGACATGTTGAGGATGTGTTGGGAACATGTTGGGCTTGTGCTGAGGACATGGGGACATGTTGAGGATGTGCTGGGGGGATGTGTTGGGGACGCATTGGGGCCATGTTGGGGACACCTTGGGGCCACCACCCTGGGGACTCGTCTCCATCCCCATCCCCAAGCCAGGCCACGGCCAAGGGCTCATCCTGGGTCCCTCGGGGACGTGCTGGGGACGCCACTCACCATGGGGACAATGGCCACCTGGTAGCCGTCCACGGGCTCGCGCGGCTGCGGCCAGGCCACCTGGAGGGACGTGTGGCCGCGGGCGACGACGCGCAGGGCCACCAAGGGGATCTCTGCGGGGACAGGGTCCCGTCGGGGGGGAGGGCCACCGCGGGGACACCCCGGGGAGGGGACACCCATGGGACGGGGACACCCATTGGCCAGAGGCACCCTGGGGAGGAGACAGCCATGAGATGGGGACACTGGGGACACCCACTGGACAGGGACACCCTGGGGAGGGGACACCCATGGGATGGGGACACTGGGGGCACCCATTGGACAAGGACTCCCCAAGGAGGGGACACCCATGGGACAGGGACACCCATTGGATGGGGACACCCTGGGGAGGGGACACCCATGGGACAGGGACACCCATTGGATGGGGACACCCCGGGGAGGGGACACCCATGGGATGGGGACACTGGGGGCACCCACTGGACAGGGACACTCCAGGGAGGGGACACTAATGGGACAGGGACACTGTGGGGCCACCCATTGGACAGGGACACTCTGTGGACACCCCAAGGAGGGGACACCCATGGGACAGGGACACCTGGGGTTGGGGCCTGGGATAACTGGGAGCACTGGGGGTTGCACTGGGATAACTGGGGGATTGCACTGGGATAACTGGGGGATTGCACTGGGGATTGCACTGGGGGTTGCCCTGGGGGTTGCACTGGGGGCTGCACTGGGATAACTGGAATTGCACTGGGGGTCGCACTGGGGATTGCACTGGGGGTTGCCTTGGGGGTTGGACTGGGAGCACTGGGGGTTGCATGGGAGTAACTGGGGCTGCACTGGGATAACTGGGGGATTGCACTGG